AGCCGGTTTTATATATATATATATATATATATATATATATATATATTCACACAGGCCAGGTTTTCTAAGGTATCGTTCAAAGCTGAAAGGATGATTGAAAGGCATGTCCAAAAGCTCACTGCCGCCCACGAGGACAGAAGTTCAAAGGATAGCACCGAGAGAAGCATAACCTCATGCCACCTTCGCAGGTTAGATTGAAGATGATACCCGGTTTCAGTTTCAGTTTGAACAATCATTGAGCATGCACTTCCGTGCGTCACTTTGGGTTGCCCATTTGGATAAACAGTAGGAGGGAGACATGAAAGTTGAAAGTAGGATCGAAGAGAAAATTGAGAAGTTAAGTGGAATAATGTTGCAACTAAATTGAGAAGATGCAAGAAAGCCACTGTTTACGACACAGCCATATCACTCAGTGTCTCTAACCCTCGGTTACGATAATCACGAGGTTCTCATCCAGGAAACCTAACAGGACCTATGTAACCCAGACTCCTGGTTTGGGTGCAAAACGCATACCAAACATGGCTACGCTGGCATTCAAACTATCCAGAAGAGCTTGCAACTTACCTGGATCTTCACTCAGTAGCACAATGTCCTCTGTATACTATAGATCAGAAAGTCTGCCACCTGGTAGTAAATCTATGTCACTATCCTCGCATGAGGCTAGGGCTGTTCCCTTGATCAAATCTATAGCAAGGTTAAAAAGAATAGGAGAGAGAGAGGGAGACCCGGAAGAAAACCACTTTTCGTGGTGAAGTCGAGTGAAAAAGTGCCGTAGGCTCAGACTCGGCTTCGACTGTTAGCAAAATTCAAATTAAATTCTCGGGCAAATCCTTCAGACCGAGGCAGCGCCAGAGTTTGGAGCGGTTAACTGAGTCGAAAGTCGCTTTCAAATCGAGGGAGACATTTCTTTGGTCTACGAAAAGATTGTCGATGTTCGAGAACTTGGCGAAGAGTGAAGATGTGATACAACCGATACAACCTCGATTAGTTCCAAAACCAGCCAGGTTCTCACTTGCGCAGCCTTCACGTGCGGCAGATAATCAATTTAGTATGATCCCAGCGAGAAGTTTAGAAGCGATATTGATCAGACGAATCGCTCTGTGGTTTTCACAAGAGGATCTTTCACCTTCCTTGTAAATCGGTCTGATGATCGATTCACACCATTCAGTTGGAACCTTTTCTCTCTCCGACACTGAGCCCATGAGTTTTGTTAACTCCGAGACTAAGGCTAAACCTCCATCTTTAAAAGCCGATGGGGACAGCCCGTCCAGCCGGATCGGAGACCTTATTCCTTTCGAGATAGCTTATTTCCCGGGAAACTTACATTGCAGATGGAGGACTGGCATCATCTGGGAGTATTTGCCCACTTGTGTTGGAGGGTTTTAGATCAGATGT